AGATATCAGACGGCAAACAGCTGTAAACAAACGAAATATTCAATAAATCATCGATAAATTGAAACATAAATGCGATAAATTACTTTATCGAATAACTCAATAAATAAAAATTGAAAACGAATAGGTGAGATGAGTTAGGTTCATGTTCAACGGCAGACTGAACAGAATGTTGAGAAATAAACAAGTATGAATTGAGGTCGTCTGCCCGTGACGCCAATCTTAGCGCAAGGCTGAGCAGGATGTCAACATCATGTCACTAGATCCAAGGACCGGCATAAGACAGAATGACAAAGTGGCAAGGGCAACAGATGCCAAAATAATGTATTCTACTCCAAGGAAGTAAAGCTGATGTCAAGAAGAAGTGTTCTGCTCACTGCCCTCCTGTTCGAGTGATCTATGGCAGTCAGGCCACCTTCTCAGGGGTGTCTCACAACTTGTCCAGATCAACACCATGGATAGGGGCAGCTGTAAGTTGAGGAGTAGAAGGCATAAGGGTGGTCATGCAGCCACTTCCGGATGCTATCAGGTTTTATTTCACGAAGATGCACCTTTGATGACGAACTCTTTCGCACCTCCTCTTCTCGCGTCACGTGCTTTTCCCACAGGCGATATTGATGATGCCATTGCCCCAGCTGTCGGTCTCAGAGTCGATGCCGGTGACCCAGGTGTAAGGATATGAGCCGACGTTATTTTGTTCTGGAGATGGAATGGAGATGCATAGGGAAATGAGTTCTACGTGTACTTTGTATTCATTTTTTTTTCATATTCATCTAGATTGTCTACTGGCCGTATATATCGCTTTCTGTTTTGATATTCGACGTCTTTACATCCTCCCACTAATTTATAAAGATTTCCTATCGGTAAATTGTCGTTTAACATCATCCACAGTCAGTCGAAGGTATGCCGTCTCACGTACTCTGTCGAACTCGTACAAGTCCTCTGCATCAACTCTACGAATACGAATACATTGCCAAAGCTGAAGTCGGACAGACATCGGCGTGCGTCTTTGCACAGAGCGCTGTTTGCTCGTTTCTGGACGAGATTTGTTGCACCACCATCGGGTTTCCCAATTCGGCTGCTTCGTGTCTTACAGGCTGCTGCACGCCTCCACTCCAACCCTCCTGCGTCAATGTGGCGGCACCTGACTTTTGTGTGCCGTCGACCAGCCAAGAGCAGCTTGCACGCTGACTTGGATGCATCCTCTTTCAAGTCCATAGTATGAGCACGTTTTTTCTTGCACCCCATTTGTCGACAGGTCGACCTATTGGCCTCTTTTCTTCCTTTGGGACGGGACAGACGTGGGGTCGATGCAACGGGATGACTCCGCAAGGGGAAAGTGATGAGGGGAGAACCAGAAACACAGTTCGACGACTCATCATGCAGAAGGCCGAATTCCCGAGCTGTGATGCTGACGAGGAACGGCCTACCCAAAGAGGGACAATGGATGAGATCACGAAGCGAGAAACGAGCTCACGGACGTGGGGATGCCGCGTGGGAAGCAAGCCAGGGCACTGCTGCGCGTGGGGATGGTTGCACTGACTGACGGGATGCGGATAGCGGAGTACTGGCCGTCGAGGCCAAGACAAAAGAAGACGCAAGGAAGTCAAAGGACTGCCGTGTTGCGCGGACTGTGCTTTCTAAGCTCACAGCAGAGGTACAGTATCCGTGTTCTCGTTTGTTTTGCTTGTCGTTCCGAATTATCCAGTGCACCTGCATGATGTCTAGACGGCATACGTTCAAGTCAGTTTACCTTCTCTTATCTGCTCGAAGTAATTGGAGTTGCCCTGCCAAGGCGTGTTGTCGTATCGGTCCTGTTGCATCCTTCTTCGAACCGAGCCCATGCCCTCGCTTGCAGTCTCCCTCCGGACCCTCTGATGGTCCTTTCAGAGCACATGGCCGTTTGTTGTTGCGTGTGGCCTGCCGTACGACAGCGTCCACTGTATCTCTGCGCTCCCTCACCTGCATGAGAGTCTGCTGTACAAAACCGATCGGATAGCTTCCGGTGGAGGAGAGGGACAGAGGAAGCAGAGGAAGCAGAGGACACAGACACAGGACACGATGTGAGAGGCACACACGGTGCACACGACATGAACTGCGCACGGCGTGTCTTGTAGATGGGTCGCTGGTCGAACCGGTGCCACCGACAAACAAGGTCCACCGGTACGTGGCTGTCGCTTGTTTCCCTGCAGCAGCAATCCGGCCTGTGCAAGTAAATATTGTATGCAGACAGAATACGGAAAGGCGAGTCGACGGCGCAATATGTCGTACATACTAGATAATGAAGTACATCAGCAATATGGCAACGGGAATGAGATCGACTTGATGCTGTCTCTTTTGTCTCTTTTGTTCTTGACCTGACGACGTCGCCGTCAGGACTGCTGGAAAATCCACACTGGCACACTCGTTTCTCGTCTCTCATGGTATCCATGCCTGTCTCTGTTCTCCTGTTCGTGTCTGCCTTGCCTGCCAGACGGTCTGTCCCACGCCGCGGGGTGTCTTTCAGCTGCTGCGACAAGGCCGCGACGATGCCACGCCGTTCGTTGCCTCCCACGCCGGCCGCCACGGTTTACGTACTCTTTACCGACGCCTATTATGTACCCCGTACGACACGTACTATGATTGATATGTCAGGAAGTCATAAAGGACAAAGCTAGCCCTCTGTGGAACAGTGGAAAACAGTATGAAGAGCGCCCCGAGCGGCAACTCTGAACTGAAAGATGGCAAGTGTCGATGTTCCAGAGCAGCTGTCCAAGGTATCCGTCTCTGCAGAACTGCCGACGGTAGCCTTTTGGTCACACCTCGTATGGTTTCGTGTCTTCTGTAGTCGCGCGCCCGCCGTCTGTTGCTGCACGTTCTGTTGCACGACCTTTTATCGGGAAAGGTGGGACAAATTCAAGGGAGGTATGCCGCACGCTACAGCACAAAGTATAGCACTGTGCAGCCTGTTACTCTCCGCAGGCAGACTGGACATGTGCTGAAATGCCAGTGGCGGTTCTACGCAGAAAAGCCGCACAAGGCACACAAAACGCACAATGCACTCAAAGCTGGATCCGATCCCCTTTTCTGGTCATCTGCATTGCCATCATGAAATGCCGTCAGTCGCATAAACAGCGCAGAACGTTTGCCTCCTGGGCAAGGCCACAACCGCAAAAACCACGCGGACCCACTGAGCCACTGTCGTACTGTTCAGCACTGCCGTAGACTAAGACTCCTGTAAGACGCTAATCTGTTCACCCACTAACCAGCCAAGCCGCTGAGCCTTCGGCGCAAATCGCGCAGAGTTTAAAAATCAACATTGCGGCGGCCAGTGCAGAAAGACGACAGCCTAACCCAAACACGCTTAGCGCTCAGCGACCCGTGCTGCCCCTCAACCACCCACTAACAGGTGCTAACAGCTACTAAAATCGAATGCCGTCAGAGCGCGGCGCTACCTGGCGCCTGGAATGCCTGTGGGCTGTTTTTGCATCAGCAGGAACGTTAATCTTCAGCGGTAGCCCTTGTCGTTGCCTTCTTTGAGTGTAAGTCACAATTGGCATTGGCAGTTGTCAACTCTGAACCGCAACTCGGTGACGCTTCCTCGGATGTCTCGAACAGTCGACGTGTCTGCAGATGCTGCATGTCGTACGACATATCGTAGACATTGAAGTAGAGATACCGCCAAGTCCTGTGTACTCGCAGGCGACGCGAAAAAAAAGGAAAGAAAAGCAAATAAATAAATACAAACGCAAAAAGAAACAAAAAGCAAGAGACAATCCTTCAAACTGGGAACAAGACCTGCCCTCGTTGCTAAACAAGCTCACATCTATGCATTTCCGTGTCTCCGTGCATGCTCTGCTCTTCACAACGTCCCATTGCCCCATCTACTTCACACCCTCCATCATGGAATGCGTTTCAAACAGTCTACCTGCACCCCCTCTTCTTCGACTTCTTCTTCGTCGTCCACTTTGCCTTTGCGAGATACGATTTCGCCTCCACTGCCCCTATCAAGTATTGCCGCCCTTTCTTCCTCCTTTCAGCACTCCGTACTGTATCGTCGATCTGCTCGAGTCACTCCACCCACGCCCCTCCCTTGCCTCCATTCTCGACTCACTTTCTGCCCTCCACCACGCCCATCATCACATCACACTAGTATAGCGTCTTAGTCTCCGACGGCCGAGTCCTCGTAGCGTAGAAGAAAGAGGGGCCATCTCCCTCTGCTCGTGTCGAGTCGTTGCAGATATAAGAAGGCCGTCTCCCCCTCTTTCCAGGTCCTTCATTTCCCCCTTCATCACCAAGTCGACCACAAGACACATATCTTCCGCCTTTGATAACAACTCCAACAACATCAACTCATCGTCAAAGATCCTTTGACGTTGCCCACCATTCTCTCTCTTACGAGTTAAACCACCCCCCACCCACAACCAACCGTCAAAATGAAGGGCGAGTGCGGCTGCTCTGGCACCTCCTCCTGCAACTGCGGCTCTGACTGTATGTTCTTGACTGTTCCACGACGATGTATACACAATACAATCGAATCCTAACATATCTAGGCTCTTGCTCCAGCTGCGGCAAATAAATAACGTCGACACTCCAACCATGTCGACGGTGCGCTGATGCACTGTTGATGCTCGGCCCCGAGGCCGTTTTCCATTCCTACCAAACCGAACCACATCCGTAGATTGGAGATCGGAGATGGGACGGGTGACGGACTGCGGGTGCTAGCGCTCATTGTGCTGTCGTTTTGTTTATGACCTGCTTTTGTTTCGACTTTCAATTTGGAATTTAGTTTGGAAATTTACAAACAAATTTGCGACTGTCGACCTTGTCTGTGGGATTTATTGCACTGCAAATGTGACCCGATACAAAAGACACACGTAGATTGACGAGACATACGCCGACTCCAAGAAGAGAATGATAATGAGCAGAAGCAAAAACATCCAATGAAATGAAAGGATTTTCTTTTTTAAAAAACTGCAACGACACAAACGGAGAGATAAAACGGCAAACCGCCACATTCCACATTAACACTCGATCCTCGGCTCCATTCCAGAATTGTCGCCCGCCCAGTCACGGAATACACGGCGGACAAAGGCAAAAAAGGCGTCGACGTCGGCTGTGTTGGAAGCGATGCCAAAGGACACGCGGACGGCGCCGGTGACGGGCCAGTCGCTGTTGTCTCTGGTTGCAGATGCCGATGCAGTCGACGTCGTCGACGTAGTGGACGCAGCCGACGGCGTCGGTACAGACGACGGCTGGGGCGATGAGACCTCCTCCTCCTCCGACGCCTGCGTCACCGTTCCGTCTTCATACCCACTGTCTGGCCGCGTCCAATCCCGCGCCACGTGGGCGGCGGGACCAGCCACCGCGGCGCTGTTCAACGCCTGCAACGTCTCGCCGCCCGCGCTCCGCATGGCCAACGCCTGCAGCTTCAGCATGTCCGCCCAGGTATACTGCAGCGCCGCCTCTCCGGCGCCCGGGTTGCAGAAGCATCCCGTCCGCAGGGAGATGCGCGCCTTGGCCGCTTCCCGCGCCACGATGCGCTCGTCCACGACCACGCCCGCCGTATTCAACACGTTGAACGTCACCGTCCCGCCGCGGTTGCTGCCGTCGGGCAGGCAGTGCGGCGGACCGTAGAGGCGCACCATCGGGCGGCCGTTGCTGTGCCGCAGGACGACCAGCCGGTCCAGGAACCAGCCCGTCAGGCAGCGGACGCGGACGGACACCAGCGCGAGCCTGTCCGCCGGCGTGTCCATTTGTGTGTCCCCCTCGCCTCGCTTGGCGTCGTCGCTGCCGCCTCTGCCGCACGCGAGGGCGGCCCCCCCGCGCGCGGCATTGAGCCACTGGAGGCCCACGCCCACGTCCGGGATCGACTGGAAATTCACCGTGCCGTCCTCAAACTGCGCCTCGACGCGGTGCGCCGGTGTGTGCCAGTGCAGCCCCACGCTGACGGCCCGGATGGTGCCGCCCGAAAACCACGGCCGGTCCAGCCGTCCCAGCGCTTCGCGCCGCGCCACCAGACAGCCCACGCCGGTCGGGTAGCCAAACAGCTTGTACCAGCTGACCAGCACAAAGTCCGGGTGCACGCGGGATAGGTCGAGCCGCGACGTCGGCAGGTAGGCCGCGGCGTCCAGCAAGACGTCGTAGCCGCGGCGCTGGGCGGCGGCGATCCAGTCCAGGGAGTGGCGGACACCGGAAAAGTTGCTTTGGGCCGGGTAGGCAAAGAGGCCGCGGTCGTGGGGGTGGTCAAAGGAGGACGGGGCGGTGGTGGTGCTGTTTGGAGTTATGGTGATGTCACCAACGCCGTCGTCCTCAGCCTCGACGTCCTTTTCGTCCATGTCCGCCTTCCCGTCCAAGAGTCCACAAAAGACGCTGCTAAAGAACCGCTGCCATCCGTTCGGCGTTGGTTTGGATGCTCGCCGCGAGCTTGCCGTTGGTCCGGCCTCTGGCGCCAGGACGTCCATCAGCACCGTCTCGTCCACATCCATGTCCGGCATCCGACACGGCACATACTGCGTTGCGACGCCCTGCCGCCGGGCGTATTCCCGCAGCCCGTGGAGGGAGTTGTGGTTGTCGGCCGTCAACACGAGCCGCCTTTGCGCGCGGCCCCGTCGCCCGGACCGAGTCCCAGTCCTTGGTTTCGTCCTCGTGCTCGTCGATGTGGGCCCCCAGCGGTACGCCTCGCCCACAAGACGCGCCGCGCCCGTGGCATTCGCGGTAAAGACGACGGCATACTCGTCCGGCGACGCTCCAAAGTGCTCCAGGATCTGCGTCCGCGTCGCCTCCACCAAGGCCGTGGCACACTCGCTCGTGGGGCTCACCGAGTGCGGGTTGCCCAGCACCAACGACGTCTGCCGCTCGGCGTGCGCGCGGTGTTGGCTGCGGGCGGCCAGTCCGCTGCCCGTGTAGTCGAGGTACACGTGGTGCTGTTCGTCGAGGTAGCTGTAGTCGGTCTGCCGCAGCGTGTCGAGGCAGGCCGTCGAGCCGTACTCGGGGTAGGCGTCCAGGATGGACATTGTGGGGGTGGGAGAAAAAAGAAGGACAGGAAGAGCGTGCGTTTAAAGACAGTCAAGAGAAGGGAATAAACGAAGTGATGGTGTGAGAAGGGAAGACAGAAACACGCCGCGTGTCCAGTGTCAGGTAGACACGCGGTGGTCAGCCGAAAGAAGGATGGGGATGAGAGGGAAGCCCTACTGCCTTATTGCCAGTGAAAAATGACGAAGAAAATGAGAAATAAAATAAAAATAAAAATAAAAATAAATGATAACTAGGACATCAACCAAGAAGACGGAAGAATGACAAAATAGAAGGAAGTGGGTGTGTATGGAACGCAGCAGCAAATGATAACTGGCAGGTAGAGCCGCGAGGGAAGAGGGTGGCCAGGAAACGCAAAGGGGATGGCCACACCATGTTATACACGCATCGAAGGAGCCGACATGCACAAAAGAGGCAGGCTGATGCCACCTCCTAAGGCCTTGATGAGACCTACTTGGGATCCCCAGCTGGCCAAATTGGTCGATCTCAGCCATGGCACTGCCGCTTACACGACTCGACCTGACCTAGACTGGACTGAACGAAACGCCTCTCGGCGACGTTCATCACACACCTCCGTCTACACCATCGTCTCCGAAAAAGGAAGAGTGGACGGCGATGTTGATGCACGAGTTGTGGGCCAGTAGGACACGCCAGCTGGCCTCTACGACGACCACCGGTGAAGATTGCTCCATGACGGGAATCCAACGGAAGTTCCGTATAGTGACGATGCGGTGACGACAAAGGGGCGGTGGCTGAAAGTTGGAAGGGGAACGCAAAGGGGAAGACGAGCCGACGACGAGACAACGAGACGACGAGACGACGAGACGACCAGAAGGGAAAGGTCGGCGGGGAAGCGAAAAGCGAAGCCGGAGGGTGGGAGGATGATGAGAAGGGGTGGGGGAGGAAGAGAAGAGAGGAGACGAGTGGACGAAGAGTGGACGAAGAGTGGACGAAGATGAAAGGAATACATTGCATTACAGATGCAGAAGGCATACCAGTTCCGTCACAGGAGAGTCATGTCCAAATCAAGCCTACGAATTCAAAATTGGTGGTTGAATCGACCATGGTGGACATATCGTCGCCCGCACGTCTTCATTTTTGTGACCTCGTTTAACAGGTATGGACATTCCAGTTATCAACAGATGTTGGAGGTTTTGCGTAACGTTGTGATAATATGATGTGTTGAGATTGTTCGGGAGACTGTTGGCGACTGGCGTGAGCTGCTCGACTGTTCACCTTTCACCTGATCACCCCTTACTTTGCACACGTATAACGGGACCACTTGGCGAGACGATGCATAGACAGGATGCGGGCATCTCGCCGACATAGCCGTCGAGAAGCAGATGAGCAGAGAAACGAAAAGGAAAATAGAGAGAACGAAAAAGAAAATAGAGAAAACCCGAAAAAGAAAATAAGTCTGAGCTGGCAACACCCACGGAGACGGAGAAGCTGATATGTAGTGCGGAACTCAAAGAGGGTGTGAAGGATTCCACAAGACGAAGCAAAAGAAGAGGCTGAGTGTCGTGTTTCGATTTGGAATCCCAGACTGGACGTGGTGATGGCTTTGGCAGAAGAATGGGTAGGATTGGGGGCCATGTTGACAGCAAGAAATGGGGAGACAAACAAAGAAGAACATGATGCGGGACCAAATGCGAGACCGAACACTTGAACCAACAGGAGAAGACGATCAAAGGAAAAGGTTAAGCAGGAAAGTCTTGCATTCGTGATCAGCATATCCAATATGGAAATACACCGTCGTGTTTGAACATAAACAATGAGGAACGAGACGAGATATCGAGTATCTGCCGAACCAGACTCGGCACCGGCCCTGGACAATGTCCTTACCACTTCGTTAATGGCTTCTGTCCACGTTTATTTTTACAAAATAAGAAGGGGTGTCATCTTTACGGATGCCGTGTACAAAGGCTCGCCGCCTCCTCTTCCTCTTCCTACAGCGCTGCTCACCTCTACAGGATTTGGTAGTGTGCCTTGTCTCGCCGCTGCCTTGTTGCACGGCTTCGGGCCGCCGTGTACAAGATCGTCTTTTTGAGGCAGACGGGCAGCCGAGCATCTGCGAGCTGCGAGCTGAAAACTGAAAACTGAAAACTAAAAGCGAAAACTGAGAGGAAGACGAGCTGATATGCTCAACGGTGGATACGGCTGTGCTGTCGTGGAGATCCTCATAGCCCTAAACGGGGCTGTTGTCGAGATGCCCACTGAACAACAGTCCAATACGCTTATGTACATGGCCGCCAATGGTGTTGCATAAAATTGACCCGCGTCTTGGAGAGACAACGCAGCAAGTCAACCTGCACGTTGATGCTTCTGGTTTAGCGGAACTATTATTGCATGCAAGCAGCACTCGCGGCCGCACCGTGCTATTTTTATGGGGCGGCACATATATTTACTTTTTTTCCCCCCTCTTCTTATACAGCCATTGTTGAAGAGTAAAATGTCCCGTCTTGCCATCACATGGTGCATGCATGCTCGGGTCGTAGTCTTCTTTGAGGCAAAAGATGCTACCAGTACGTCCCATTCTCATATACGTAGGACCGGGATGACTCTCTACTCTCGATGCTTGACACTTGACACTTGGTCATATGTACGAAAAGGCCTTCAAACTTTTAAGACGGGGAAGCATGGCCACCGGAATAGGCGTGAAACAAACATCGGGAAGACATCGAGTGCAAGCCTTGTGGGGTATGACACGAGGCAGGGATGAACCTTGTCGGTGGGAAGAGAGGAGAAGGGTAGTCAACAATGAGTTGCAGAAATAACTGTTTTAAGGCTGGCCGGGACACATGGTAATTTTTGTTTTGTTTTGTTTTATTTCATTTTTGCTTTAGATGCATCCTTTGTATCGTTTATTTCAGTATTCGGGTCAGTATTTAGATGAATTGAAAATAGGACAGAGGCTGCCTCTCGATTCTTGCATGTCTGCTGTAATTCAAAAAGTTCCCCCAAAAAGGTGTATTTTCCGGGCATCCCAGATACCAGGTTCACTCGAGTTCTGCTGTTCTGCGCACAAGATTCTCCAAGCAAAACGCACACACATGCACACACAAAAGGACCGAATGACATCAAAGCCTCGGTCATGCTACACTCCCATTCAACGGGAGGGAAGGCAATGCTACGGTGCAGTGTGTAGGCCTCAAAGGCAGCGCCTTGCAAGTCAAGAGGGTGCCACGGGAGAGAACCAGACAATGGACGAGAACTAGACAATGAAAAGGTAATCTTGCCACGGCACCTCGTGGCAACTCCGCAGTCTGTGTGTCGTGTCCTTCTCTGTGTCTGTGCGAGTCTTCAAACGCCGCAGCGGACAGGGATAACTATAAAAATACCCGGTAAGAGCAACGCCCCGTGGTGTAGGAGGAGCAAGAAGAAATAGATTGAGACGGCGCAAACGACATAATGACAGCCAGCTGTACGCTGTCAGCCGCCACCAGATGCACGACTCGAATAGACAGACGCCACTGCTTGTCTCTCCTTACGGGGCACAAGCTTGGTACCCGTAGCTGCCGTCGTATCGTGCTGTCAAACAGCTGGGCGCTTTTGTACTTTCTGGTGAACGACAACATACCATTTAAAATGAAGTAAAAAACAGGCGCAGGCTGCAAAACATCCCGTCTGACGGAAGGCCCGTACGATCAACCGCAAAACATAAGGCAAAGGGGCAGTAGACTGACATGCTCAAAACAGAGCATCACGGCCCGGTCAGTGTTTGCGCTGGGCTTCTGAAAAGTCGGGTGACAGGCGCATAGCCACAGACAAAGCATCCCAAAATATTCCGTCCCGTCCGAGGTCGACCACAGACTTCCGCTGCATGCGCCTTTCGCTTACGACTTTCCACCCTGCTGGCTAACTTTAGCACACCGGGTCCCATATTTCTGTGGCTGCTCAACTGCAGAGTTACCTTGCAGCACGCGCAACCAGGAAAGGGAACGAAAGGCACGGAAATGCAATACATGCAAGGCAGGCTGGGCACTTGTTGACGGATGGTCAGTCTGCAGACGCCCGGGCTTCGCCTGCCCCCTTTGACCAAAAAGAGTCAAGAGTTTCGAGAGCAAACACAAAAGTGCCAGGTGCCGTTCTGACGTTTGACCAGGAAAACGTATCCGTTACCGGAAATGGCCAAGAATCCGCACATCTTGTCGGCGAGGATACAACTCGGACGATCAGAACGTTTGCGGATAGTGCGGAAGGACAAGCAAAAAAGAAAGAAAAGCAATGGGAAAGAAAAAAGTTAAGAAAGAGTGACAAAGCCCTAGGCAATGCAGTGGTCGGTGACATGTAGGAAGCCATCGGAACAAGAGGCACGACCGAAGACCGCCCGCCAGGATACCGGGAAATATGCAACATGCTTTTTGTTTCCTGCCAACTGCATACTGCATGCAGAAATGCTGAGAGTCCAGTTGTTTGCTCTGGCAAGGAAAGACTCGATACCGCTCACTTTTTTAGTTTTTTTTTTTTTTTTTTTTTTTTTTTTTTTTTCTTCAAATAATAATAAGTGATAACAAAATGCATTATATCGACAGTTCCCTTTCAATGTATAGATGTCATGCCCCCAGCCTCTGGGCAACGCGTGGCAAAGTTGCTGGCCTGGGTCACGGTGGAAAGCGCTGGGAAAACCGAGCACAACTCGTCGTCATACGAGGCTCACAAGCCAGCACGCTGTCGAGGTGGGACATGCCAGTTGTCGACCGTCACGATAATGACGGCGACGAGGAGATGAAGAGTAGAAAAAGAAAGTGTACAATAGTAGGAAGTGATGTCCGGTGCACGAAGAGCTAATACGACATCACGAACAACGATCACCAATGCTGCCACAGAGGCTTTCTGCAGTGTCCCCTTTGTAAGGACGGCGGATCAAGGACCACCTCTCGTGCTTGTCCTCTGACAATCCTGCTGCGCTTCGCCCTGCCTAAATTATCATACTGTGGTGGACCGTACGGTCTCGCCCTTTCGCAGCCAATTTGAGCCA